TCCTCCTCCATGATTTAACTAAATTGGCGCCACAGGTGTCAAGTCTGTCTGATGCAAGTTTTCTATGCGCAATTCGATTGGACGGAAATCACGGGACTGCTTATTCTGCTTAGCCAATCACCGTTGACAGGAAAAAAATAAACATATAAAGTAGCATCGGCAGGTTGAGGAAAAATAGCGCAGTTAAAGTACCGATACAGCACAAAAAATGTACTCATGTAAAAGTAAAACTACACTGTTTTTAAACTACTTAATAAGGTACAATTCCTGAGAAAAACTACTCAGTTACAGTAACGAGAGTATTTGTAATTCGTTACTTTACACCACTGGATATACACAATCATTTATTTGCATATTGTTTATTTACATATTTACATATATAATTGCCCTATATGCCCTATATAAACTATCATATTAATGTTTTAAATATATAAAATTTGAATATACAATATGAAAGTAAAACAGCCAGTAGGTAGCGGCAAGTTAGTAATCTTTAGAGTAAGACATTAAAGGGATATATATAGTTCACCCAAAAATGAACATTTGATGTTTATCTGCTTACCCCCAGGGCATCCAAGATGTAGGTGACTTTGTTTCTTCAGTAGAACACAAATGAAGATTTTTAACTCAAACCGTTGCAGTCTGTCAGTCTTATAATGGAAGTGAATGGGAATCACGGCTTTGAGAGTAAAAAAAACCATACACAAACAAAACCAAATTAAACCCTGCGGCTCAAACGATCAGTCTGTGCAAGAAACTGAACAGTATTTATATATTTTTTTTTACCTCTGATGCACTGCAATGTCTGAACTGTCCTGAGAGGGTCCTGAGCGTGTCCTCTGCTGTGTACCAATTCATAGGCTACGTCCTTCGAAGTGCGCATTTGAAGGCCGATTGTGTCATGACGGCGCGACGAAGACCGTCCCAATTCATGATGCATCCTCCGAAGGCTGCATTTGAAGGCCGATTGTGTCACCGCGGCACGACAAAGGCTGCTGCAATTCGAACTCGACTTCAAATGCGTCCTCCGTTTCTCCAGGAAATGAAGGATACATCCGATGGACCCTTCGCAGCCTACCCTATCCCAGAATTCATAGCGCGCCAATGGCGACGGGACTTTTATTCAAACAAAATAGCGGGTGATGGTTCTGTGGCTGCCAACGAATACACTTATAAATGTAAGTATTGTGTTTTAATTTTTAGGACAGTTTTGGAGAAAATGGTGCTTCTGGGAAACTTAAAAATGAAATGAATGAAGTTGTTTATTACTTTTGTAATTTAAGTTATTTGTAAATGAAGCAAAGTCATTTCTGTGTATTGTTTTAGTTGAAACTTGTAAATAAAAGACAAGAAGTAGTTCTGGAAATTGTTAATTTTTGCAACACAAGTTATAATTTGTAAATGACAGAAATTCTTCCATAATTTTTTTTTGCCTCTGAATAACATTTGCAAATGAAAAGAAATTGTTCTATACTAAAAGTACTTTTTACAACTAATTACAAAGTAACTTCAATTCAACATTAGAAAAACAACATCAAAATTTAACAATACATTAAAAAGATTGGAAAAAGAAAAAAAATGCTTTTATATGTAGCTGAGCAGTGAGACCCTGGTGGAGCTGCTGGACCTGGACGGGCTGCCATAGAAAGCCTGGTGTGGCATCATCTGGGATAGTCTCCAGAGTGTTTGAGTGCATATTTCCACTGTACAGCAGTGAGGTTAATTGTGTAGAGCTATGAAAAAGTAATTGGTGGAAGAAATATGAGTAACTTTAGTAAAGTACTTTCAGTAACTACTATTAGCACATTGAGGAAAGAATGTATGCATTTAAAACCTTAAGTAAAAGTATTATCCTTCATAATGTAATGTACTTAAGGTATGAATAGTAAAAGTAGCCTATGTATTCTGCAGAAACAACTATATATGATGGTCTTGCATTAATATTACTGCTTCACTACAGTGTACTGTATGTTGCAAATTACTTATGAATATGTTCATGGTTGTTACATTTAAAATATTTTATATAGGCCTACTGTTGGGCAGTTTAATGTACAACAGTGCATGATATTGTAAAGGACCATGTTTTTGTATTGTAGCTGTC